AGGTAAGGGGAGGGAACTGATGTTTGTGGAGTGCCTACCATGAGTCGGGTACTAGACTGGGCACTTCACACCTGGTATTTCATTCGATTCTCCCAATCATTTTACATTCCCACTAGCAATGTATGAGGGTTCCAGTTTCTGCACATATTTTCAGGGTTTTTTGTTGTTGTTTGGAGTTTTTATATATTTTTTTTAAATTATAGCCATCCTAGAGGGTGTGAAGTGATTTGCCTTATGATTAATGATATTGGATGTTTTTTATGAGTTTGTTATTTATATATCTTCTTTGGAGAAATGTCTGTTAATATCCTTTGCCCATTTTTTAATTTGGATTGTCTTTTTATTGTTGAGTTGTAAGAGTTCTTAATACATTCTGAATAGTAGACCCTTACCAGATACATGATTTGTGAATGTTTTCTCCCATTCTGTGGGTTATCTTTTTGCTTTCTTAATTATACCCTTTGAGGGTATAAAAAGTTTTTAATTTTGATGATGTCCAATTTATTTCTCTTGTTGCTTGGGCTTTTGGTGTCATATTAAAGGACTCATTGCCTAATCCAAAATCATGAAGATTTACACCTGTTTCCTTCTAAGAATTTTATAGTTTTACCTATTACATTTAGGTCTTTGATTCCTTTTGCATTAATATTTGTATATGGTATAGGTAGGGGTCCAAATTCACTATTTTGCATGTGGCTATCCACCTGCCCTAGCATCATTTGTTGAAAAGGCTATACTTTCCCCACTAAAATATATTTTTGAAGTAGACACATTAGAACTTCTTAGTGGAGTGGATAGGCAGTATGAGGGAGAAACAAGAATTAAGATTATTGAGTTAAGCAGCTTGTTTAGTGGTGGTAGCACTTATTAAAATGAGGGGGGCTGCCATTGGGACTTTGGATAGGAGGGAGTGAGGGACAATCAGATATTCCAATTTGAACTTAAGTTGTCTGCAACACTTTTCCACATGCTGCATAGTGAACACACCATGTGGGTGGGAGAGAAGAGTATGAGCCAATAGTGCAAGGCTGCTATGAGGGAGGGGGATGACCAGAAGGTTGTTGGATAACAGAAACAAAAAGAGAAGGGAGAGGATGGTGTAGTTGGATGGTTTGGGTCTCAAAGGAACAGGGATTTTTGTAAGAAAGAGGAAGTAATAGTTCAGAAGTGTTAATGGGAACAAGAATGCCTACTCCACCTCCTGGACTTAAGGATTTGGGGGTTTTAAAAAAAAGAAACAAAACAAAACAGTCCTAAGAGGACAACAGAGGAAGCAGTATCCTCGACAACCAACAGGTTTCAAATACGTCAAAGAGGTAGAGGAAATGTTTTTAAAAGCAGCTGAGGATTTATGAATGTTTGCTGATTGGTGCAGGAGTTCTAGAGGGCAGAGTGGAAGTTTCAGGAGGGAGGAGTGGTAGGTGTGTGGGAGGGATTGGGCAGTGTGGGGATGGTAATTAGGACAATAATGGAAAACCAAGGGCCCTTGAACTTGTATGATACTGATATAAACAGATGTACCGCATAATGGAATTAGACCCGATAGTCTCTGAGAAGGCAAGCACTTGCTTCCAGTGCTGGGCCCTAAATGCTTCCCTAGACAGTATGGCAACTTCCCAGGCAGCTTATCTTAATGTCTCAAGGAGTGAAATGGCAGTTTTCAGGGAGAGCAACTGATACTAAGGTCTAATGGTGACTCTGCCAAGGTCACACTGAGTTAGTAGCAAAGCAAGTCTACTAACACCAAACATCATCTCTGCTTACCACTCTTACTTGTTCATCTTAGTTGTGCTCATTTACCCTCCTTTTGGCAGAGCTCGATCCATCAGACCATTAGAAAATGAAAAGTAAAGGAAAAACACTCTTGAAACTAGACAGTGTTTCTACTTTGGGTCCATTCCAGGCTCATAGCTGGTCTGCGCAGAAAGGATAAAGAATGGCTGTGCTGCCACAGGCCTGGAGAGCAGTGGTTGTGGCCCAGTAGGGTCTGTATAACCACATCTGTGTGCTTTACTCTCATGCGTGTGCTCTATCCACAGGGTCATGTAGGTACAACAGCAACCAAGAAGATTGATGTCTACCTCCCCCTGCACTCAAGCCAGGACAGACTGCTGCCAATGACTGTGGTGACAATGGCCAGCGCCAGGGTGCAAGACCTGATTGGGCTCATCTGTTGGCAGTATACAAGCGAAGGACGGGAGCCGAAGCTCAAGTAATTCTTTCTCTTTTTGGCTGCTCTGGTTTCTGGTGGTCTCCTGGCCACCCGAGCTGTATTGTAGACTGGGTCAGACTTTCTTGGCATTGGCCTGGAAACCACACCTGCCCACTGATCCAGCTCAGAGTACTTACCAGATCTTGGGCCTGTGTGTCTCAGGCTTATCTCAGAGGATCTGCTTGCAAAATAGATTAAGTTTGAAATCCAGGCATGAGAAAATGGATTTTAGCAATTCCCAAACCCTTTTATGATCCCTGCTGATAAAAGCAGCATGGGAGGTAAGGGGAGGGAACTGATGTTTGTGGAGTGCCTACCATGAGTCGGGTACTAGACTGGGCACTTCACACCTGGTATTTCATTCGATTCTCCCAGCTCCCTGTGAGGTGAGTGCTATGATGCTCATTCTGCAGAGGAGGAAAGTCAGGTTCAGAGAGTTGTTACTTGCTGAAGCTTACACCAATGGGAAATGGCAGAGTCAGGATTTGATTCCAGCCCTGTTTGATGCCAGGGATTTTGCATTATTTCCTTTTGCCTCCTACAGAACTTTTGGTCTGAATTTTAGTTTCTTCATCAGTCAGTGGCTCAAGTTTTCTCTCAGTCACTAGGTTCTATTGCTCATTAAACAATTATATTGAAAATGTAGGGCTTGTAAGTAGACTCTCTTTGCCTCTACATTATGACTTAAAGTTTAAAGTACTTTGCTGCATTGGCTCTCTCTTACTTGAATTTTACCCAACAGAATTTAATCTTCTTCTAGTTTTACATATTCCTTCCAGCAGTAGGGTTTGGAATAAGGCAAAATGTAATGAATGCTTTCATTTTGAAAATGGATTCTCATTGAGACTGTCTCTCCCCCTCTCACATTTTCAGAGTTAGCATGATCCAGTCAGCTGTCAGTTGTTTTTACTTTTCTTTAGGTACACTAAATTCACACATAAGATTATTCTTTTAAGTACTTATTGACATTGCCCTCTACTTTGCCTGAATAAGTTGTGGATATAAAGATAATCTTTATTGCTCTGGTGGCAGTAGAAAGCCTTTTCCCCAAGATACCACCTAGGCTTAGAAAAGGGGCGAGTCAGCACCTCTCCTCAAGGCTGAGCTATGATGTCATCCCTTTTCAGCGTGAAGTAGGAACAAGGAAACAGGAAAAGGAGCCACAGAACTGATGACTTTACGTATGTTGTCTGATTTAGTTCTTAAAACATTATTTAGTGCAAGCACTAAAACCAACAGAGGAACTTGCTCAGGGTAACACAGCTAGTAAGTAACACAGACAGGAGTTGAACTGTAACATTTTACAGATGAGGAAACTAAACGTAGACAGGCTAAGTAACTTTCTTAAATCACACAGTAAGGGGTAGAATTGATATTTAAACCCAACAATCTCTGAATCCGTAGCTCCAGCTCTTCACTATTACATTGTACTCTCTACCATGCAACTCTATTGTAGGTGATATTAAAATATTTATTGAATTCATACTTATTGCAGGCACTGTGCTAGATCTGGAAATACAGAAGTGAAAAAGGCAGTTCCTGCCATCAGGGACCTTACTGTGTAAGGTACATAGGCAATAACAATACAATATAATTACATACAAAATCAAGTCCTATGAGTAGATCTGACCCCATATTTGGGGTGAGAATGGAATCATGAAAAGCTCCCTTGATTAGGTGACATCTAAACTGAAACCTGAGGGAGCATTAAGAAAAAGTCCTGCAGAAAGGTTGAAAGGAGGGTGTTTTAAGCAGAGGGAAAAGCATGGACTTCTGGTTATGATGGCCCTTTAAGTTCATGCTTTAAATTCTACATTCTGCTCCAAATACATAGTAATGGTAAATGAAATATGTTATTAACATACTTTCACATTAATAACAAGATAAACATCCTAATAGACTAGAAACAGGCAGAATGTACTAGGAGTTCATTATTTTAGGGTATTCCTTTCCTTAGAGCATGCTGTGAAAGAGTTTACCAGTGTATGAAATACTGATTTTTGTTAGGCAGCTAGTCAGGGTCTGGGTGTTCAGAGCCAATCGTTCCTGGGGATGGAAACAGTCTTTTCCATCTACCTGTGTACTGTACAAATACCGTTATTTTTCTAAGTATGTTGTGGTGTCTAAAAGAGTAGGAAACACTGCTTGAGGGTATGGGACCAAACGAACTTCATTCCTGGGTGGGGACCAGAGGAAGACTCACTATTGGAAACTAGGAGCTGGGGTGAGACTGTCTTCCCTGTGAAAAGAAGCTGAACAAAACTGCCTGGGTTTGTGGCTCATTTAAAGTAAAAGTTGTGTTTCTGGGGTGACAGGGAATAGAGAGCAGTGCAAGCAGAACCTGGCCATGGCATGACTGTGTTTATGATATCCCTAGTGTTACCAAAGGACGGGAACCCTGAGCGGTCAGTATAAGTCCTGGTTCTGGTCTCGAGGCCTCTGCTTGGATGAGGGTGGAAGACTGTCGCAATATCTATAAAAGCACTAGACGGTGAGTGGGGAGAGAGAGAGAACAAGCAAGTGTTCCCATTCCAGAAGAGCTAGCAAATTAAAATTCAAAGTATGTGAGGATAACTAGTACTAAGAAAGACAGACAATAATCAGGAGATGAATTCAGGAAGAGAATATAATAAAACAATATGAAAATTAATTTCAGATAAATATTTTTAAGATCATCAGACATGAAGGAAGGAATAATATTCATGGTAAACTTCTAGGAAATTATGAAACAAAACCAGGCAGATTTGAATTTAGAAAAATACAACACTAGAAATGTATAATACAGTTACTAAAGTTAAAACAAGAATGGTGTAAACTCTAGACTAGACATAATTCAAGAGAGAATGAATTGAAAGATTGTCAATACTGAGGAATTCAACTCAGGATGTATTAATAGCACAAAGAGATTAAGAGGTACAAAGAATTAAAGATGGCTGGACACGGTGGCTCACACTTGTATCCTAGCACTCTGGGAGGCTGAGTGGGGAGGACTGTTTGAAGTCAGGAGTTTGAGACCAAGCTGAGCAAGAGCGAGACCCCGTCTCTACTAAAAATAGAAAAAATTAGCCGGGTGTGGTGGTGTGCACCTGTAGTCCCAGCTACTTGGGAGGCCGAGGCAGGAGGATCATTTGAGCCCAGGAGTTTGAGGTTGCTGTGAGCTAGGCTGACGCCACAGCACTCTAGCCAGGACAAGAGAGCGAGACTCTGTCTCAAAAAAAAAAAAAGAAAAAAAGAATTAACAATAAGTTGAAAGACATGGAGGAAAGATTGAAAGTCTCCCATGTGTGCAGTAGAGAATGGAGGGAAGAGCAGAGGAGCAATATTTAAAGAGATAATGCCAGAAAATTTCCCAGAATTGAAGACAGATATGAATGAGTCATCATGTTAAAGCACATACAAATTAGATAGAAGAAGGATAGACTTTTCAACAAATGATATTGGAGCAATTGAACTTCATAAGCCAAAAAAATAAACTTCAGCCTAAACCTTATGCCTTATATTAATTAAAAACAAATCTCAACTTCAACGTAAAATGTAAAGCTGTAACACTCTTAGAAAAAAACAGGAGAAAATCTTTAAGGTCTAGAGCTGGAGAAAGAATTCTTACACATGACACTAGAAGCATGATCTGTAATAGGAAAAATGGATAAATTGGACTTTATTAAAATTAAAAATATTTGCTCTGCAAAACACCTTGTTAAGAGGATGAAAGGACAAGTTACAGACTGGGGGAAAATATTTGTGAACCACATATCTGACTAGAGACTTATATATAGAATATATAAAGAACTCTCAAAACTCAACGGTAAAAAATTATAATCAATCAGAAAATGGGCAAAGGCACAAACAGACATTCGTTTCACCAAAGAGGATATACAGATGGCAGATGAGCACGTGAAAAGATGTTCAACACCATTAGCTATTAGGAAAATGCAAATTGAAACTACATGCTATTATAATGGCTAAAATAAAAAATAGTGATGACACCAATTGCTGGCAAGGATGTAGAGTAAATGATCATGCATCATTTTTCTTGGTAATATCAAATGGTATGGTCATTCTGGAAAATAGTCTGGCAGTTTCTTATAAAGCTAAACATGCACTTACCATACAGCCCAGCAATTGCCCCCTTGGGCATTTATTCCAGAGCAGTGAAAACTTACATTCACACAAAAACCTGTACAAAAATGTTCATAGCAGCTTTGTTTCTAGTACTTAACATTGGAAACAACCTAAATATCCTTGAACAGGTGAATGATTAAACATTGTAGTACATCCATGTAAGGCAATATTACTCATCAATAAAAAGGAATAAACTGTTGATACATGCAATGACTTGGATAGGTTCACTTAGTGAAAAAAGCCAGTCTCAAAAAGTGTCATACCATATGAGTCCATTTATGTAACGTCCTAAAAATGGCAAAAGTATAGACATGGAGAACAGTTGAATGAATTGTTGCTAGGGGACAGGGACAGTGTTAGGGCGTGCAACTGAAAAAGAACAACTCTGTCATGATGGAACAGTTTTATATCCTGGTGGTGATTATACAAATCTGTACATGCAATCAAATGTATAGAACTGTACACACAAATACATGTGAAAACTGAATAAGGTCTGTAGTCTTGTTAACAGTATTGTACCAGAGTCACGTTCCCTGGTTTTGATATTGGACTATAATTAGGAGATGTCACCATTGGGAAAATCTGAGCCAAGGATTCAGGGGACTCTATACCATTTTCCCAACTTCCTGAGAGTCTAATAATCATTTCAAAAATAAAGGTTTAAAAAAATTACTTTTTAAAAAATGTACTTTCCATGTGCCAAACAGCAGAAATAAATGTTAGTTCATACGTATATATATTGTAGTAAAACTGGAGAACATCAAAGATATAGAGGAAATAAAGGTTACCAGAGAGATGACATACTTCCTACAAAGGAACCACAGTTGGACTAACAGCAGACTCTTTATTAGCAACCATAGATGCCAGAAGACATTGGT